TAATTATGTATCGATAAAACTCATACTCAATTAATAAAATCATGAGAAAAGTCTCACTTTAACAATTTAAAAAAAAAGAATTAACAAAAAATGTTTTTTATATAAAATTAAAATATATTATTTATTTTAATGTTATATTTTATGTTTTTATATATTTTATATTTTAAACAGAATTATAATAAATTTTAAGTTTAAATAAAATTGCTTAATAACTTTATTTTTTTTTTTGAAATATATAATTTATAAGTTTAATTATAAAAATTAAAATTTTCCATTATTTTAATAATCTTTTTATTACTAATATTATTATATCATCATATAACGTGCAATTATATATCAAATGTATTTTTTATTGGTTTGTGTGGCTAAGTTTGAAAAAATAAAGAGTCACAATTAGTTACTGTTGGTAAAAGATTGTTAATGTAATGACAGTAAACTCAAGTTTATAATAAAGTTTGACTTCAATTTTTATTTATTAATTGTATTTTTAGGCACAATCTTTTTTAATAATATTTTATTAACATCTGATAAGAATACATTGTTTGTTTTTATTGTTAATAAGAATTCTTAACTCTCTCGGGATATTATATTGACCATAATCTTTACAATATTGTATATGGCAAATTTCTCTTCAAAAAGCTATAATACATGAAGCAACTCCTTTTTATTAAACAAGCTTTCTGTGAAAGAATGGATTAGCAAATTAAAGCAACAATCGACCTAATTAATCATATTACATATTAAATGTCTCGTAATCACGGTTCATTATTATACGTATTATAACACATTTATCATTTGGGTTATTTTTGAAAATTACGACTAATAAAATTTCAAGAAATATCATTTTCCAAGAAACTTATCCTTAGTATTGCTCATCGCCTTCATACATTTCAGGAGCAGCTGCGAGTAAACCTTTTAATTCGCCACGTTCGTGAAGAATTGAAATAAACTCGCGAAAGAAAGGTCCATAATCAAAGGTTCTGCGTTCTCTCTCAACCTGTTTATAATTCATTTTATTATGGCAAATCAATGCAAAAAATAACAATAAATTTAAGGTAAATCACCTCTTTGAATTTTATTTCTCGATCAATGTCTTCAAGCAAGACACGTATTTCGCCAATCATTCTAGATCTTAATTGTTCTAGTTTTTCGACATCGTCATGGCATGTTGACAAATTTAACAACTCCATTCCAGCATTTCCTCGTTCTATAGCTTTCGCCTGATCCTCATTAGTGAATCGAACATCCACCTATTCAAATTTGAAGCCTACGATTACTTATAAATTACATGATGCAATTAGAACTTATTATTGTGGCATACATCTTCAAAATTTGCTTCTCTCCATGAATTGTTAATCTCGTCCAATCTTTCCTCGACAAGTTTTTTGATATACAGACAATCGTTTAACCTATCTTGGTTGATGCCAAGTTGATCTTTTGTTATAGCCAATAATACATATTCCATATCTTCTGCTTGAAAACTGAAATACGATGATATTAATGTATTATGTTATTTCATCACCATTTGAAAAATATAGTTTTACCTTTCGATGCGCTCATTAATAACACCACGGGCAGCATCATACCAATGTTTGTGATCATCATATTTTCCTAGGAGTAAGATAAAATATTTTCATCCTAAGTTCTTTATAAACATCCACACATTAATGGAAAATGCATTAAAAAGTACCTATTTTTACAGGATGAGGATATAATCCGTCTAATTGCCACACCTGCCCATCGACAGGCACATAGGCAATATAGTGATAAACTTCTCCCATAACGCCTATTTCTACTTTGGTCTTTTTTTTACTAACAGCCTCTTCTACAATCAGCGAATCCTCGGGATGCCTAAAAACCATCCCATCATATGCATATATACAATTAATTGATAATTAAACATCTGCAATGTATGCAAATATTAATTACCTAGCCATTGAATTATGAATTTTGCGAAAGGTTGGATGATTTGTGATTGAGAAGCCTCTTGTCTAGACGAATAAAGAAATTTTAACATCAGGGATAATACCTACAATCCTAATAGGAAAGAGACGTACAGCAGGTGGAAGATCCCAAGTAAAATCCTTGAATTCTTTGAGCTCCTGATCGATTTCTAGCTGAGGACAGTTTAATACTATATTTAACACTGCTAATGTGGCACAAGCATTCTCGACTACCTGAAATCAGAGCAGTATAAAATTAATAAAAGTAAAAAAAGGAAATATTATTATCTTTGGATACAAATTTATACTTGATTCGCGAAATAAACATTTTTTGGATTCTCTTCAATGGGTTCATATTCAGTGCCTTTGTGTAATCCTCTTAAATCCCCTGTTACGCCACCGAACATTTTAAAAAGAAATACGATCCCGTATATCTGCCTTTCAATCATCGATAAAAATGATTGACCTAAACAATATTCATGATAAAACAACCACGATTGATATCAAAAATACCCTAGATCATCGAAGTTATCCTGCTGATCAAGGACAAAAACTTCAGTTGCTTTTACACCTTTAACGCCCAAATCATACATTAATGCCGTAAAAAGATCTTCGATTGAATATAAAAAAAATCAATAGTTTTGTTTCCAAAGACTAACAAATTCATAGAATGGCGTATAATTACTCGGATCAGACTGTAATTTAACCCATGGTCCTTCAGCTCGTTCTTTATGACTAAGTAGAAGCGAAGACATAGTTTTATAAAACGTCCTTGGTCTCTGCTAATCTAGATAAGTAAATGACGCGAAAATAAGAAACGAATTTTTCGTAACGATAGGAAAAAGAATGAATTGACTTGCGTACTAAACGCGTTTGTATATGCGCAGGTTCCGATCTCCATAAACTTTGAATCCATCCAATCATAAGAATCGATTTTCTGTAGAACCAATAAGATTATATGTGAATTTTTTAATTATACTATATATATATATACTGTATATATATATTGAAGGAACAGGCGGTCCCCACGCGCTATTTTTATTATAAATTTTAGACTTGCGAATACAAGATTTACAAACTATTTACAAACTATGGCGTATAATTATACTATATATTAAAAATATCTATATAAGAAAGATTTTTTTTTTGTTATTTGATTTCTTTAATATTTAAAATAGGTTTTCATTTTAATAAAAAATTTCTTAATTTTATATGCCTTAAGCAGTTAGAAATCATTTGTTTAATTAATTAAATTGAACTATTATAAGATTATATAGACAAATCGATCAAAATTAAGTCAATAATAAAAAATTTTATATTACCTATATTTTCAAAATTAATTATTGCCAATAAAATGCACTTACGTCATATTGTGCATTAATAAAACACGTTTGTTTTGATTTAATTAATTAAACTTTAATACATACACATTAATGAAGCGTGAATGTCATTTAATGGAAATGTTAACAAAAAAGGTATATTTGTTACTAAAATTGTATGGATTATTGGAAATTCAATTAAACACTTCCTTAAATAATTAATAATTTCGATTTTTTGAGAAAAAAAAATAGTAACAAAAAATTAATAACGAGTAATTAATTTAAGCAGTTTGTTTTATAAAAATTAAAAATCAATCCAGAATTCAAAAGAATATAAAAACAAGTACTTATTACTGAATTTTCATCTAATCTTATTTCAGATTATATTTTAATAAAATTTTTTTAAAAAATATTCATTAGTAAAAAAAATTATATTAAATAATTAAATTGATTAAAAATATATTATTTAAACTGATAAATACTTTTTTAGTATAAACTCTTATAAAAAAGTTTATATTTTATATTATAAAGATAAACTTATAATCTAAATTGCATACAAGCAATTATTAAAAATAAAAATAAATATAATTTATATTATTTAATTCAAATTATATTATATATAAATAATACAGAATATAAGAATATTGTTTTGAATATTATTTATTTAATATATTTAATAATTAAAAATAATATTACAAAAAAATAATATATTAATTTATAAATATAAATTTATAAAAAAAATTAAATCTGAACTTGAAATATAAATATAAAATAGTTATTATAATTATCAAATCTTAATTTAATTAAAAATATATATATAAATATTAAAATATAAATTTATAAAAACAGAAAACTAAAAAAAATTATTATTATTATTATTATTTAATAATTGGTATATATCTTATTTTTTGAAAAGATTTCTTTCATAAATAAATAGCATTTTTTTATTTAATATTATATATAACAAGATATACATTATAAAAGAAATAACATCTCTTTTATTATTTTAGGAAAGTTAAAAAAATTTTTTTTTTCTCAATCAGATTGGTGTCATTTATTTATTAAATCAAAATGAACCATTACAAATATAAATTGTATGTATAAATTTCTCCGACCCAGCT